TGCGCGAAACACACACACACACACACACACACACACACACACACACACACACACACAGAGACAGCTCAAACAGTGTTTTAAGGATTCATCAAATGAGTGATTTAGACATATTTCAGCTGCCAGATAACTAAACAACATTAAAAGTTTAGGTTTAGGAGGACATTTTAAAAACTTTTAAAAACCGGTTTACAACGCTGTATAAAACAGTTTAACACGTTATATTGTTAACAATCATTGCAATCATTTGCAGGTCATCTCGGAGCCACAGCGCCTCCTTCCGGAGAGAAACAGCGTCACATGAGTCACAAGTGAAAGTGAAAGTGAAAGTAAATGGTGTGACATTTTGCTCAAGCTCTCTTCTAACGGGAGACATTTCACCTCAATGTTTCTGTGATAATCGATGTTTGTGATCAGTTTTTAATTAGAAATACAGTCTAAATTTAATGATCACTTGAAAATTGGAGTCGGACTAAACACAGAGCTAGACTAAAATTGAAACTAAATCCTGATAAATTAAGTGAACTTTGCAGAAGCACAAGTCACACGCATTATTAGGCTACAGTCGTTGGGCCGATGGGTGCACTTTACAATAATGAACAGAAATAAACTGATTTGAAGCAATATTAGGGCCAACAAACTTGTTCAAGGACAAGGATGATAATGCATTACCGTAAATAAATAACACTGGAATAGTATAGGATAAAAATATGCTGTCGAAATACAATAGCTGCAAACTTATGTTAAACTTAGAGACGATTCTCTCTGTCCTTTCAAATAGAAAATCCCATTAAATAATAATAAAAGAAGATGTGCGACGCAAGAAATATGATGAATCTGGATGTTCAATAATGGAGTGATGAGGTCTTCTGCTGGTGAACGAGTGTAACTACAGAGTTCAAAGTTTGCATTATGTAGTTGCATAGGATTTCGGCCCATTTCCCCTTTTATGCTGAAAGAAAACTGTGTACCGTCTCTGTACATGGATTACTGTAGCTATATAGTCATCGCTGGCAGCCATATCACCCTGTAGCCCAAGACTGGTTACCCACTGAAGCTAAGTAAGGCTGAGCCTGGTCAGTACCTGGATGGGAGACCTCCTGGGAAAACTAGGTTGCTGCTGGAAGAGGTGTTAGTGAGGCCAGCAGGGGGTGCTCACCCTGTGGTCTGTGTGGGTCCTAACGCCCCAGTATAGTGACAGGGACACTATACTGTCAACAAGCACCGTCCTTCGGATGAGACGTTAAACCGAGGTCCTGACTCTCTGTGGTCATTAAACATCCCAGGATGTCTTTCGAAAAGAGTAGAGGTGTGACCTCGGCATCCAGGCCAAATTTGCCCATTGGCCTCTGATCATCATGGCCTCCTAACAATCCCCATATCTACTGATTGGCTTCATCACTCTGTCTCCTCTCCACCAATAAGCTGGTGTGTGGTGGGCGTTACAATTGCTGGTTGCCAGTTGTTTCTGACTTTTACTCTCACTTTTTCTCCGTCTGCTATGTACAACTCATTGCCAGGCTTGTAGCTGACACATAAATCATAGAGCTGTAATCTCATCAGCATTCTCTGGAGTCTTGGAGGAGCTTTTTTGGAGAGACTTTTTAAACACTGTCTCCAGGGGCTTTTGATCCGTCTCCACTTGTACTGTCTTACCATAGACATACTGATGGAACTTCTCGCAGCCATAGACAATCGCCAAGAGCTCTTTTTCTATTTGGGCATATCTTTTCTGACACTCAGTAAGAGACCTTGAGCCAAATGCCACTGGACGTCCTTCTTGCAGCTAGCAACACTGCTTCCAGACCTTCAGCGCTTGCATCCACTGACAGCATTATCTCTTTGTTGAAATCGAAGTACTTCAACACTGGGGCGTTGCTCACAAGTGACTTCAATCTTTCAAAGCTCTTCTGTTGTTCTGACTCCCAACGCCTCGCTACATCACCCTCTAGAAGTTTCCGTAGCGGAGCATTGATGTCTGAGATGTTTGGAACAAACTTGGCCAGATACTGAAGCAGGCCTAAGAACCTCATTAGTGCAGCTTTATCCGCTGGCTCTGGCATGTTCTGTATCGCTCTGACTTTCTCTTTGTCTGGCTTCAACCTATCTGCAGTCAGAATGTGTCCAACATAGCTGACTTCGGTCATCCTGATCTTGCATTTGTCTTTGTTCAACTTTAGATTAATGTTTCTAATTCTATCTAGCAGTTGTCTTAGTCTCTTGTCATGTTGTTCCATGTCTTCACCCCACACCAGAATGTCCTCCACTATGTTCACGACTCCATCTAAGCCTTCTAGTCTTTGTGCAATGCACTTTTGAAACACTTCTGGAGCTGACACTATGCCAAATGGAAGACTCAAAAACCGGTATCTCCCAAAAGGAGTGTTGAAAGTACATAGTTTGGAGCTCTGTTCATCCAGCTGTACTTGCCAAAACCCATGATTGGCATCAAGCACTGAGAATAGTTTGGCATTTGGCATCTCAGCTACTACCGTCCTTCGGATGAGACGTTAAACCGAGGTCCTGACTCTCTGTGGTCATTAAAAATCCCAGGATGTCTTTCGAAAAGAGTAGAGGTGTGACCTCGGCATCCAGGCCAAATTTGCCCATTGGCCTCTGATCATCATGGCCTCCTAACCATCCCCATATCTGCTGATTGGCTTCATCACTCTGTGTCCTCTCCACCAGTAAGCTTGTGTGTGGTGGGCGTTCTGGCGCAATATGGCTGCCGTCGCATCATCCAGGTGGATGCTGCACACTGGTGGTGGATGAGGAGATTCCCCCTGACAATGTAAAGCGCTTTGAGTGCCTAGAAAAGCGCTATATAAATGTAATGAATTATTATTATTATTATATGGAAAATAGCTGAGCGTTCCACAGCAGAGACAGACAAATTCAACATAGTCACACATGTAACTTGAAATTGCTATACGATTCCAGTGTTACAGTTATTAAACACAATTATTTTACACAAGACACATGGTCTAGTAGGCTATTTCATGCTGTAACTGTAGGGCAAATAGAATATATCCCCTATGAACTGCATATGTGAATATCATGTAGACCTATTGTTTAAATCAAATTTATGCTGAATCATCTGTTTAATCATCTGCTTGTAGCTTCAAATGGCGTCTTTGACAACAGTATTATATAAAAAATGATTTGCATTCTGATTCTGACATCCAAAAGCACAACAATAAATTTTTTTTCCTCTTATTCCATGGATTTTACCCGTTTCCCTCCACGTGTTACCAGTGTTTTTCTTCTACAACGATGCACGCGCAGCTGCAAGTGACGTAACTGTGACGTCTACTCTGAATTGGTCTATGAGCTACATGAAAATTATTTGATAATGCCATACAGTTAAAATGTTTCACAATAGCACAACATTTAAAGAGATACTGCAGCATTATGTAGGTCAAATACCTCTTAAGGCAGGTTTTAAACATGTTTACAGAGGTAGAGAATCTAAGACATTGGTAAACCATTCCACAAAAAGTCCCTTATACTTTATCCTAAAATGAACTGGTAACAAATGTAAAGAGGCCAGAGTAGGGGATATATGATCCCATCACAACTACCTAACTAATGGTGTACAAACATATTGAGATATATCCAGCTGCAGACCCGCAGCACCAGCAGTTTCAGAACCGCAGCCACAGAACCGGAAGTGAGGGGCGGAGTTATTGACAATGAGAGAGCAGGGTGAGTAGTCTGCAATGTTTTTGCTATCATATGTTTAATAATTATCGTATATATTACTTTAAGCATTTATCTGCTAAGTACTTAATGTGTGCTTGGCTTTATTATCTTATATTGAAGCTTGAATTTGTTGATAATACTTTATAGTATATAACTTTTTTCTGTGGATGTTTCGATTAATTTTCGGATGCATGCTGTAAATGGGCCTTGCAGTGAAGTTTTGAAGACGTTTATTATTCATAAAAATAAATCGTTTGCTTTAATTCCCTCTGTTATATGCATTGTTTGTGTTAATATTACCTTGTAGTTTAGTTATTTTAATCCCAATCATTGAGATAATTGTGTGTGGCTTCATCTCTTGTAGAGACATATAAGGATTCAGAGAGTTGACACATTACCTGAGCTGCAGCAGTGCAACAAGTGTTACAGCAATTACCAGCAATTTTCTGCTTGACCAGCATGTTTAAGCCAGCCAAACTGGTCAAATGAATAAGTCATCTTCAAATCCACTTCAACATGCAGTTGTCTGTGGAGGTAAGTTTTCATGCAGGATTGTCATGACAAAATGGGCTTAATAATGAATTGTTCATTTTATAAAATTCAAATTAATTATTGTGTACATTTTGATTGTTACTTTTAAAATTATGCTGCTGTGTGTGTGTTTTATTGAAATGTTTTAGTTTTCATATAGAAAAATGTATGATGCACGTGTTCTTGACTTTGGAGTAAACATTTATTTTGAATCTTGTGATTAAAGTATATTTCATATAAAATGCCCAGAAGTTTCAAACATTATTTTTAATATCACAAACAGGAAATTACTTGCATAATACAATGAAAAGAATAACTGTATAGGTCTACAACTAAATTACACAAGATTAATGTTTCTAAAATGCTTAATATGTCATTATAAAATGCATACATACATAAAGTATGACGTATCGTGTGTACTAAAAGCAAATTACCCCTTAAAAACCGTAAGGTGTCGCTACTCAGTTAAAAAAATGTAAGCTCCGCCCCTCACTTCCGGTTCTGTGGCTGTGGTTCTGAAACTGCTGGTGCTGTGGGTCTGCAGCTGGATACTATTGAACATATCACCAATATTGTTTCATAATCGTCTCTTCTTCTATCTTCCCTCGGCAAAGCACAATGTCTCCCTCTACTGCCTGACAACAGCTACTTCACTGTATTTGTGATAGAAAGGAGATTCTCTACTTCTGACTATTACTTTACCTTCAGGAAATGTTCTTTTACTTCCACACCTACTGTAATTTAGATGGACTACAATAGCATGTTACAGGTTACATTCATTTAAGTAATTTTTTTTTAGTTTACATTTTATATTGTAGCTTTGAGTGTTTAATGGGAGCATTGTAGATTTTTAGGAAATGTGTCTTTATTAGAGAAAGTGTGAATAATAGTGAGTGTGGTAAACTTGTTTAGGAACAGCCATGAAATGAAATAAATGGGCTTTTTAATATGATTTTCACAATTTCTGTACGACTCACAGCTTGTCCAAATCATGATTGTCTTGATTGTACGGGCAGGAGTCTGTGGGTGTTATGTAATAATCTTTCATTCTCAGGTGTTGGGCAGGGGAAGGAAAGTCACATCTCGCCAGACACATGGAGCAAAGCAGCTTTATATCACTCCTCTCCAAATAGGCATGTGTGGATATTTATGCAATCACAGTGACACTCAGAGAAAATGTCCATTATAGAAAATGCATTTTACCATGCTGTTCAAATATGCCACAGGCAGTCATCTGACAGATCACACTGCAGCTGAAGGTAATGTACGCCAAATATCAAGTCCAACCAGTTTCTGAGTTGTAATGACTACACAGTTTTTGATTTAACACACACTTACGATACAGTTTGTTTCTTACTGTGTGAAGTACTTCACCATGTGAATTGATAATAGTGTGAAGATGGCTGACTGGAGTGGATCAACCAGACAACATGGTGAGTCTGTTAATTTCTGTTGTTATTGTAATAAGAAATGTCTGTACATTTAAGCAACATTCTTTTAAATGAGTTTTTTTTAGCAGATGAAGATCAAGGAAGTTTAGGATTATTTAACAGAAGAGGAAGCAAACGTCAACCTATGAACAGTGAGTTTTACTTTTACATAAAATAATGTGTAGTACAACAAAATCTTCATAAACTGGTGCTTTTAGCATTGAGGAAGAAAAGAATAAGGTTTTCACATCCAGGGAATTTCACAACTACCTTGCAATATAATAACTGCCAGATTTTGAATAAAACATTACATACATACAAGAGAAACTTGTAGATTTTTACTGTCCATTATGCTGGTGTTTTGGTTTTATTATGCATATACAGTAGTTTCTCTTTCTGTTAATGTAAGTCTAACAGCAATCATCATGTTACCAGCTTCCACCATTATTGTGTTTGTGTCTCAGAGCACTGTATTAATTCATAGTAATTAGGTCAGATTGTGAACGCATCAATTACAAATACTGAATTAAGGGAATGAATTAAAAGAACTGCGAGTAGAAATAAACCTGTTCATGTAATTTCAGTGTCTGTGATTAAAGAAGAGATGAGAATAGTTCTGCTGGGGTCACATGCAGATGTTAAAGCCTCCTGTGGAAACACAATCTTTGGACGAAAGGTATTTTCAGAGTCGCCGTCCTCCCTGCATTTGTTTGAGAGGCATGATGGGATGGTGTTGGAGAGGCATTTGATGGTCACCAACACTCCTGACCTGTTCAGTCCTGCTCTCTCTCCTGAAGAACAAGACGTGAGGAGACGCTTCCATCTGTCTCATCCTGAGCCTCATGCCCTGTTACTAGTGCTGAAGTCTGGCACATTTACAGAGCAGGACAGAGATGCTCTCAAGCTCATTAATGTCACTTTTGGTGAAGGAGCATCTGAGTATGTGATTGTGGTCTTCATGCATGAGGAGCAGGAGTATGTGAGCGCTAAAGACTCTGAATCAGTAAAGTCTCTGCTGAAGACCAGCAGACGTCCACACCATCATCTACAGAGGAATGGAGACCAATCTCAAGTGCAGAAACTTCTGGAGAGCATCGAGAAGATGGTGGAGGAAAATGGAGGCCATCAGCTGAAGACTCCTGAAGACCCAAGACCGTTCCTGATGAAAGAAGACACAGTTTGCCAAACAACAAACAAGATACATAAGGGTAAACCTTTACCTCCAGTTTCATAACAATAAGATGTTTTTTGATACACTAGAACAAATGGCTTTTATGATCTGCAGATGAAATAACCTCTTGCCTGCTCTCTCCCTGCTTTTTCTAATGGTGTACATTCAGGTTTCAGTAGATGGCCATGTAGTGTGAATCATTGTAAGTATAAAGTATATACACACTGTTTTACAAAATCCCTTATAAAATTCATCAGAGACTTCAAGATTATTTATTCATGTAATCATGCACTGCTGGATTCCGTCAACTAAACAAGAAAAAGGGAAATTAGGTCAATTTCTAAGTGTAAATTGGCATTAACTTGTGTCATTAAAGGTGCTGTATGTAGTTTTTTTGACTGTACTAAAGCGTATATATATATATAATATGTTTGCAGATATTTAGAAAACATGCTAACTTCACATACTTGTTTCTCTAAAAAACAATGCTACAGCCAGTTATTCTGGTTTGAAATGGGTGTTCCATCTTGGAACTTGGAGTTTTTGTTTTGGTCTGTGTTTCCACTTACTGTCAATTTACCTTATAATGATTTGGCACACTGGGTTGCCAGTTGGCAGAAAAAATGCCAGCAAACGAACTGGGTCATAGATTGCAGATTCTACCTAACCTCAAAAGTCTAAAAAAACCCTATGACCAGAGGCATATTAACACACAGATAAATCAACTCACCAACTTACAGTGTAAGGCTTTATGTTGTGTGTCCTCAATTTGACCACCCATGTGAGCATCGAGACTGAAGAGGAGGGGGCGGGGAAAAAAAACTGCAGTACCCATTTCAACCTCTAGCTGTCAACATTACAAACTCCACCTTTAAAACATGCAAAACTCCAAAAACGTACATACATTTTGCAACAGTTTCCAGCTGAAATGAACACTTGTAGCAATAAAACACCAACAAATACAAATATTTAAAACACTCTTGCCATAGTGCAGGATTTTTAAACTAATACATTTTGACGTTTGCATCATATAACCAACTCCACATGTACTGTATGGCTTTTCTGATGTAGTAAACTTGCTCGGTAGCACACTTGGTTACACTCAGGGTTGCCTGGTCTGGGTAACAAAACATTATTCACGTGACACAACGTAATAAAATGTAGCCACAGACCGTCATGTTAAACTGTTTCAAAGAAAATTGAATGCACTGAAACTGCCACAATATCATTTTTTTTTTTCAAAAATGATTGTCTCCACAGGTTCACATTTTTTTCATGAGCCTGGGTTGCTAACTTTTAAACTGTTACATTAGTATTGGTTAATAATTTTCTTCATTTTTAGGGCCCATGACACAGAGGTTTCACCCAAAGTCAGGAAATCCCGGAAAATTAGTGCGATCAAAATGTGAGTATTGCATAAAATTATGACAGTTTACTTTGGTAGGTTTTATTCTTATGATTTCTCACAGGATTTTCTCACTTCATCTTTATTTTGCGTCTTTGTAAAAAAAAAAGTTTGCTTTGATCTGATCATGGAATTATAATGTTTGCACATTTGTATTTGTGAATCACAGCCTCTGCTGGTGCGGAGAAGAGCTTGGAGTGTGTGAGGATTGTCCTGATTGGAAAAACTGGAGTGGGAAAGAGTACCACTGGAAACACCATCCTGGGACGTCATGAGTTTCAGTCAAAAACCAGCATGAAATCTGTGACCAAGACATGCCAAAGAGAGACTGGAGACGCCTGTGGTCGACCTGTGACTGTGGTGGACACACCAGGACTCTTCGACACGACTCTCAGTAATGAAGAGATCCAGCAGGAGATCATGAGATGCATTGAACTCTCGGCTCCTGGACCGCATGTGTTTCTGCTGGTCATCGCTGTCGGCCCAATCACACAAGAAGAGAGAGAAACCCTTCAGCTCATCAAGATGACCTTCGGACAGAAAGCAGAGACCTACACTATGGTGCTGTTCACACGAGGAGACAATCTAACAGATGAAAGCATTGAAGACTTCATTAAAGAAGGAGATCCACACGTCCAGAAACTTATAAATGACTGTGGAGGAAGATTTCATGTGTTCAATAATAAACAGAAGGATCCTGCTCAGGTCGTGAATCTGTTAAAGAAGATTGATAAGATGATGTGGGATAATGACCCCAACTTCTATAATGACAAAATGTTTCAGGAGGCCGAGAGAGCATTCAGACTCATGCAGATCAATAGAGAGAGAGAAGAGGAGGTCAGACAAGAAATCGAGGCCATTAAAGCTAAATATGAGTCTGAAATCAAAGAAATTCAAGACCAACTAGAAGAGGAAAAAACAAAAGGAAAAGTTAGAGAATTTCTGTTTGTGGAGAGAGAGTTCACACTGTTGAGACAAAAGAGAGAAAACACAGCGACAACAAACACTGAACAAACCCATGTCGAGAGAAAGTATGATGATCAGATTGAAAAGCAGGAAAATCAGCTTACAGGAACAACAGATCTGGATAGAGAGATACCTAAACCTGGAAGAGAATCTGACCAAGATCGTAAGAAACATGTTAAAAAATGGTTGGAATCCTTAAAAAGAGGCATAAAGCTAAGGAAAAAGATTGAGAGGACAGAAGAATGTAAAACAAAAGAAGCAGCAAGTGGAGAAGAGAATGTAGAAAAGATAAAAGATAGAGTCACAGACCAACAGAGCAGTGAGGATTTACCTAAAACCTCTGAAGATGAGAGAAACGCAGAGAAAGAACAACTAAATCAGCATTATAAAGAAATGGAAGAATGCAGGCAGAAGATGGATGAGGCCATGAGGAGATACAAAGAGACGGCTGATATGTATGCCGCAGAACGCATGAGAATTGAAGTCAGAAATGTTCAAATCATTGACAGCTGGGAGAAGGACCATGGAAAATCCTGTGCCCTTCAATAACATACGAAAAAATGCATGTTTTTACTTCATAAGGTGCTGTCAAGTTAAAACGTTTTTGAATGATTGAATTCCCTTGTTGGGTTTCATTTTGTTGCACTCCTATGTGAATGTTACCTGAAACACTGGACTTAAATACATGCCAGTGCTGAATGACAAGAATTACCGTGCATCACAGGACTACCAATTGGAAAATTCTGTTGCACTGCCTGTATTTAACAGTTTGGGCATTGCAATGCTATAGCATGACTGGTCCCCGCTACACCTCTCTTTATCTCCCCACACAGACTATTGGTTGCAGCTCACATCAAGTGCAAGACATTAAAGGGTTAGCTCACCCATGAAAATTAGCTTGTGTTTTACTCCCCCTCGAAGCATCCTTTGTGTATATGACTTTGTAGAGAGAAGTGTTTATTACGTTTGAAATATGGATATTTTTCTTACAAAAACGCATGAATTCACTACAGGAGGCCTTTATTCACTCCCCGGAGCCATGTGAAACACGTTTATTATGAATGCGCGAGCTTTTTTTGATGACTTGTGGACTGTTCAACTGCAACACCCGATGACTGCAATGATAGAGCTCGGAATAGCCAGGACAATTTTTAAATAACTCCGACTGGATTCGTCTGAAAGAAGAAAGTCATATACACCTAGGATGCCTCGAGGGTGAGTAAAACACAAGCTAATTTTCATTTTTGGGTGAACTAACCCTTTAATGCTGGCATACAGAACTTTACATCAGCTTCAGGAATCCTGCAGTCTGTTAATCACAGAAAGGCACAGGATCACTTTCCAGAACCTTCTTGTTCACTTTTCCTTGCTGGTGAAATGATCTACTTAACCCTATCTGGACAGCTGAATCCTTGACGATATTCAAGAAGAAGAAGAAGCTGAAAACCCATCTCTTCTGTGAGAACTTAACTGCCACCTATTGAAAAACAAATCAAAAACAATACAACATAATACATAACAATTTTAAATTATACATGTCCAAAAAATATTGCAATTCTATAAAGAATTGCTCTTTGTTACATTTGCGCCTGATGGCCGCTCGCACATCAGATGTACTTGTGTGTGGTAAGGTCAAAGGGCATGTTCATACAGTTTTCTTTTTACTACATCAGACTGTAAGTATCCTGTATTAAACCCATACTAAATAGAATGAACATCATGATTAGCAGTGAGGAATTGTATCAGTATGTCACGTCAATATTGCTTCCAGTGTATTAGTCAAACATGCAGTATACAACAGAAGTGAGTACACCCATATAGCATCACTTTAAATCACATGATACAACACTATTCAAGTTGAAAAGAATAGTATTTATAGTACAGGTCAGGCTAAATTGTAATGTAGACACATGCATTTTCTGTAAAGCTGCTTTGAGAAGTTAGTGTACTCTAAATGAGGGCATAAAGTGCAAAAACAGCAGCAGTGCACTGACCCTAGACTTGGTTGACATCACCTCTCCGTCTTCAAAGACAATCAAAACATCCAGTGGGTTCCCTCGTGACATTTCCTCTTCCTCCTCAGCAGCAATGATGGGGACTGCTGCCTTCTGC